ATTGTCCCGGCAGTGCCTTGAGGCTCGTACTTGAGTGATATCAGGCTTTCGCTTTGCGACCTCAGATATACGATGGAGTGGATCCGACAAAGAAAAGGAGACCGGAATAGCCATTTCTGGCTTGTTAGCCGTCATCAGCCAGTCCTTCCCAAACTCAAGAGCTGGAACCCTCAAGATTCGAGCCCAGGACCTTCGGCCATTGAGTTTAATACTCTACCTCGGCAGCGAGCCCGTAGTGCCGAGTATTAAACTCAATGACCGAAGGTCCCGGGTTCGAATCCCGAGGGTTCCAACCTTTTAGATTGGGTATGACTGTCTGATGACGGCTAACAAGCCGGAAATGGCTATTCCGGTCTCTCTTGTCTTTGTCAGATCTACTCTACATATATATTGCCGATATATCTTGGGTATACGCGCGCCACATGTTTTCTATTTTGTCTTTCACGCCGGACAATGACAACGTGCAAGCACTTCCTGCCGATCTTGAGGGCATACGGAAATTAGCAGCCATCGAGCTGCCACGCGAGGCCTTAGCTGCTATCCTCGAGGTTAGCCAGATGGCATTGTAGAAATTGTTAAAAATAGATCAGTGCCTAGAACTACGCAAAATGGATATAAATGATTCCTAGACAAGCAGGACGATGTGTCGTTTTTGACAATTGCCGTTGTATAGCTCTGAGGTCTATTCAATGTGTAGTAGCATTTGCCGGCCTTCTCTGTGCGTCATTATAGAAGGCTGGCGGACTTGGCCCCCATCAGAAACACGCATATTTTGGCGCAGTTTTAATAATGCTTGAGACTTTTTTTGTCACCTGACCTAGACATAGGAGACGGAAAAAAAGTATATTGGGCATCCTCGTGCGACATGGTCAGGTTGCTGTCAAACGCTCTGCGATTACAATGTCCAAACACGTCCTGCTGCTTTTCGGTGCAAACGAAAATTGTAAGCCTAAGTTCTGTCAGGTGAGGTGATTAGCTGCTATCGTCAATGTAAGCCAGATGACACGCCGGAGAATTATTGACAATAAACAGTGCCTACGACTAGACATAAACAATCGCTGGGCAAGCCGGGTGATGCGTTTAGGCGCCATGTCCTGAAACTAACCGTTGTATACCCCTGGGGTTTATTTATACGGAGAAGTTGTCAATGCACAGTGAGCATAAGTAGAAAAAGCCTCCTCGGGGCATTCGGCCGCCATCGCAAGACATCTGTGAAATGTTGTTGCTTTTCAATGATTGTGTATTTTAGGTAAGTACATGACGTCGGTACGCTCGCTGATAGGGGGTGAACAGTCCCTCGATAACACAATGTATCGAAAGGACATCATAATTGTGCCCTTGTATCCTGATCACATGATTTTTGTTTTTCGACTTTCTTCTACTTCATTACACCGCAGCCAGCCTCGGCCTGCGAGGTGCGAAGCATTTTCATTCCTCATTGCAGCCTAAACTTATCCCTAGAGAAAATCTCTCCACTCTGATTCAGTTGAGACAAACCCAGAAGACAAAGTTAAATGAAGGAAACACTGGATTTTATGTTCAGTATTCTTTTACGCCAAACCACCAAAGACAAGTTGGTTATTTTTAGGCTTGCCTGGATAGCAACCAGTTTACCGACAAGACTACCATCAAAACAGCGCCAGGACGTTTTATGTGTTAGCGTTTTGTGTTATATTCCCATTGCATTATTAAAGTGCTTCTCTGTTGTCAGCTATATCAGGCCTTCGATCCGATTGTTTTTGATAAAACGAATTACTATTTACTGATACTTTATCAAGCAAATAAGCCTTTCATTTAAAAGCGGTCGTGTTTCTAAAGCGACATAACCAGCAAGGAGGTGAGGTTGACAAACTTTGCACGAAAGTGATTTTTGTAAGAACTTTTCGACCTCTCACCTGTTAGGGTGATAATTTACGCTGTGAAGATCATTATTTCATTGAGTACTACGTGTGGTAACTGGTTGTGTTGTTTACAATTATACCCAACAGGCCGTATTATTTCCTTTTAAATTTGCAAAAACTCCCATTTAAAATTTCAGAAGAACATAAGTTTGTTTTCGATAAATTCTCGTCAGGCGGGTTGTTATAAAAATTGATGTGGTTTTACGGGAGGCCAAAAATGTGATCAGCGTTAGGCTGGGCTAGTAGGCAAGCGAGGTGATAAGCTGTTGGATTAGCGACTTTTGGCCATGATAACTGCGGCACCGCGAAGAAGTTCTTTTGCGCGCACAGGACCGGTCGGCTTAGGGAAGGGTTAACTAAGGGCCATAAACAGTCCCACTCTAGCTCTCCTGGTTGACTCAGACCATCATGTGGATGCCAAAGAGGCCTGCCGAGTGACCTACAAGATGTCCTCAAGCTATTCAAAATTCTTTGGACAGCGTCCGTTGGCTATGGCAGAAGCGGCCGCCATCAGGCTGCTCCGACCGGCCCTGTGCGTCGTTGTCGTGGTGACGCAGTTACTGTGGCCAAAAGCCGCTAATCCAACAACCAGCAGGTTATGATCTTGCTCGACCTGCAGTCCCCTCTAACGCTAATAAGACTTTTTGACCCGAATAGTTTATTTACTTAATTACCATATAATTGTAAAGACCTGACGAGAATTTGTCCAAAAAAAGAATGTTCGCCAATTTATCTTCTGAAGTATTATTTTCTAAACAGTGACTTGTTAGTAAAAAAAAAATAAGGTGTTTAGCGAACATTCCACCTCTCCGTTATCACGTTCATGACCAGTTTATTAAAAATTGTTTGCAAAAAAAGGTCATCTATCAACGTTGCCATTTATGTTTAACAACTGTATCGACTTCCTAGGCTGACCGACGTAAGCAATCTCGTCCACGTGTAACTTATATTTTGAAGCAAATTGCCGCAGCCTCTATAGCGCTCTCTTTTCGTCAATTGCGAAGCGATACGAGAGACGCCAAAAATAGTTCGTCTACAAGTGCCATACACGAAACAATTCCCAGGCTTCTGTACGACTAGTTCAGATCTGAGTGGTGTGGGGCTGCCACATAGGCAGGAGCCATTACAGCCCGACTCTCCATTCTGTAAAAAACCTAAGCAACCTCATCAGACAGCAGCATTCCATACCACTCATCAAAGTAGATTTAAGCCTATAGCACTCAGTATGGTGAGCAATATGCTCAATTATTTAAATGATTGATTCCTCAGCGTTGACCTTGCTGCATAGTGATAATTCTTTCGTCGCTAACAGTGATGTTCATTGTTTGCCCCCCAATTGTGTGCGGGCACAGGGATAGGGATTTACGCATGGATGATGTAATAACGACTTGCGTTGCATCTACCAAACGCTTTCCACCCTTACCCCGCTGGAC